AGCAGCACTTTCTAGGATTTTCCCCATTGTATGTTTCAGTCCATGCTTTTCTTTTTTTCATGTCTCAGTCTTCTTCCCTGCTAGTCTGGTTCTCAACAAGACCCAAGCCCTGCAACACAACCAAATCCCCTTGATGGGAGCCTGATTTCCTACGTGACTTTTCCCAGTCACCCCATCCTCTCCCCACTCCCATCTTTCCTGGTGAGTTACTCCTTTCCTAAATCTGTTGTGAATAACAATTTGGCCATAGTGCTAAAGCCTCTCACTTTAAATTCCTTTGGGAGGCAGTCATTCACATTCATTTTAGACAATTTCCCTGTCCTGTGAGGACTCTTCTCAAGAAGTCTACTCCCAAAACTCCTGCTGAGGTGGGTACCAGGTCACATTTTCATGACTCCAGACCCGCAGCAAATTGCACCAGGATGGACACCTAATCAAATCTTGGGCAATCAGATACATTCTCCTGGGAATATGTGGACCTCCAAGACTCCAGATAGGCCCTGCTGGACAATTGATAGATAATATCTAGACATGGTTTACAGGGGCTACTTGTGTAACTCCAAGACAAGTCTGGGTAAAACTGACAGTTGCTGTAGTACTTTGACTCTACGTTTATACCCTTCTGGATGCTGAGGGTGATAAATGAGGGCTCTGTTTATGTCTGGGCATATTGTACCATAACTGCCCTCTGGTTATGCTTGGCATTATGTAGTCCTGAGTTGAAGAGGGCCAGGACTCTCAATGAGCTGGTCCCAGCAGACAGTCAGACATGCAGAATTTTGTAGCTGTATGTATGTGTATGTACAAAGGCTGAGCTTGGAGTGAGGAAGACATCCAAAATGGGCCACGCCTTGAATAGAACTTTGGTGTTTGGAATCTTACACCTATGCCTATTAGGATAATATTGCTGATCTTGACTACATATTCTGGTTGGATTCTCTTTCTTCTGTCTTTTAGAAAAGTGAAATTTCATTTAACCAGATAGTATCTGTGTCTGTTCTTCCCACCAAACCAAGATTAGTACTTATTCATACAACAGATGTTACATGGCACTACACAGGGAAGCGATGAAAACTTGGAACTATGTCCTGTTATTCTCCACGAGGCTCATGATGTTGGTCATCTTGACATATAGGAGGGTAGGAAAGGTGTTGCGATATGGCCAGGCCAACACCATCTTCTCTTGAATTGGTGGACAAGGGTGCCGAGCGAAGGGAGCCCTTAGAGCTCTGTCATCTGAGGCCCTATGAAGGGGGCGCTCTGATCCCTAAACCCCAGGCAGTCTGCTCGGGGGAGTTTTCACAGCTTTCCAAACCTTTGACATCATGGGGAGTAAAGGGAGCCCTACTGGCTGACCTTTGAGTGTGCAGTGAAGTCATCCAGAATCCCTGTGAGAGAAACGGATTTTTGAACTCACTGGCTTTGAAGATTCCATCTGCCACCTGCCCTGGCAAGGTCAGGGTGTATTGGACACAACCTTGAGCAGGCTGCCAGATCTCTGCAGGGCGCAGAGTTTAGACCTAACCAATTCCTCAGCAGTGAAGAGCTTCTGTGAGGCCAGCCTCCCTCCATGCTAAATCCCAGTGCCCCCATCTTTGTTCTCTCTCTCTCTCTCTCTGTCTTCTATACACACATGCTCATGAGTGCACCCTCACATACTCTGTTATCATGAGCACTGAGATTTAATTGCTGGTTTTTGTTTTAAAGCAGACATTTAAAAGGTTCTTAGAGAGCATAACAGCAGCTTGTCTTTAAGACCAAGAAAAAGAGGAAAAGAAACAAAACTTAAATATGTACATCTGGTTTAGCCAAGTACTGGATGACCCCTTCCTCCAATCTGAGATGATGGCTCACTGGGGTGCAGGAGTGGTGGATTCCTGGCCTTTCTCTTATTCTCCATGACACACATGGATGATATTTCTTCATAGGACATAGTCCCATAAGGACACACAGCAGCCCCTCAGAATCTGGGGCATATATAATAACAACTGTAACTGAAAGCTTTACTGAGTGTTTACTGTATATACATCAGCTACAATGCTGCATTTCATATCAATAGATTGTTTAATCCTCACCATCCCTCTTGTGAGACAGGAAATGTTATGGCCACTTTACAGATGTGAACACTGAGGTTCAGAAGGCGAAAAACAAACATCTGGTGAGTGGAAGGACAGCAATTTGAATGTAGGCCCTTCCAACTCCAAAGTGAATGTTTCTGGCCACTCTGCCTATTGCCTCCTCCATCCTTACAGCTGCTAACGAAGTATGGCCAACCTCTCCAATACTGTTTTTCATCTCATCTGGTACCATTGCCCCAATTCTGCGAGCTCAACGTTCATTTTTAAAAGAAAAAGCATCACTTCCTCTCTCAGGATGGATCTGGAGTCCCGGACGTGTACTTCAAAGACACAGGAAACAACAGGGAAGAGGCAGCCTCCCTCTGCCTCTGCTTACATGAAGGTTTGCCCTCCCTCTGCTTATATGAAGGTTTGTCCTTCATATAAGCCGTGCAGGCATTTCATTTCCTTAGTTCTGCTGTAACAGTTGAGAAATGACCATTGTACTGGCCAAAGTAATTTTAGCCGCTGTAACAAATGACTTCTAAGTTTCAGTGGTTTAACCCTGACGGCATTTACTTTTCAGTTACATAACTGTGGAGCACAGATTTCCAAAAAGCTGAGTGTTTGGGGTTTAAGGAATATCTCTCAGGTGAATGAATTTATACCACACTTTTTCTCAGCCATGAAGGAAAAGGCCTCCAAGGCCTGCTCCCTGCACTCTCCTTTGTGTAACACATGCATATACTGCCACTCAGGGGCCCATGTGCAACACTCTGCCCAGGGCTACTCCCCTGCCTAGGTCACCAAAAAAAAAAACTGCTGGTGCACGAATCAGGGCTCATCTCTCAGCCCTACACCACACACCTCATCCTTACTCCTTTCTCATTTCCTGTTTCCTGAGAAGCACAGAACTTTAATACTCTCTGATACTACTAATTACAAATAAGAATTAAAATCAGCAATGGCTCATAAGGGTGCAAAAAGTCTATTACAACTCTTCTAAATGCCACTGCTAGTGACAGGCCCCCAAAATTTAATGAGCCTGCAGATGGACTCCTTTGAGAATTCCACCAGGAGCTGAAGAAGTGAGGTATAGTTCAGTGGACACCAGTCCCCAGCTCCTTCTCAAGTAGCTCATAGATCCTGTGGGTCTCCCTTAGGGATTAATTTTGAGTCTAGAAAAGAATGATTTTTGCTCCTATGGCCCAGGGGCAGAACTATCCTTAGGAACCTGCAAATTAGGGGGCCTTAGGCTCTTCTTGAATACATCTGGGTGCCCTGATAGTTAGAATCCATAAACCCTGTCTGGCCCTTCTCCTTCCTGCACCACCTCCAACAAAGATGTCCCTTGGTTCCCCTGTCTGGGTTTGGGGCCTCTCTGTCTCTCCACAACTGCCCTGTGTTCACTTCAACCAGACTCACCTGACTATCAATGGCAGGGGGGCCCACACTGGGTGAGGCTCTAGTCTTGGCCTCTCAGATGGCTTTGCATGGAATGGAGCTGCCTGCACCAGGAGAACAGTGGAAAGTTCTCTGCCTGGAACCCATGTGTCCTCAGTAAATAACTGCTACTGCCTTCCTGGTTTTCCAATTCCCGGAGGCTCAGTTCTCTTTACTTATTGAGAGCATGAAGGAGAGATGCTTCACAGTCTCCTCTAAGCACAATAAACGTCTCACTCCTTTGCACTTTTGTAGCACTTTATATGGATGGAAATGCTTACATTTGTGTCTCTCAGTGATTAGTTTACATGTCATCTTTTGTTTATTTTACAGTCTGTAAGTTCTACAAGTGAAAGGACTGTTTCTTATTCTCATCTGTATTCTCTGTAGCTATTATAGCATTTGACCCTCAGAAATGTTACTTAGGGAGTGCAAATTATTTTTGAGAGAACGAGTTAGTGAATAAATAAGAGAGTGAATCAATGAGCAAAGATAAGTGGGGGAAGAGTGAATGAGAAGTAAAGGGGGAGGGAGTGAATGAATGACGATGTGAGTGGCAGAATGATGGCCAATTGCCTTCAGGTTTTCACTCTCCTCTTATTCTATGCAAACAGAACCCTCGTTTTTAGTTGGACACATTGACACCCAACAAAAAGATTACACTTCTAACTATTCCCTGCAATTTGACATGTCCACGTGACTAAGTTTTGTGACTAAACTAAATGTAAGTAGCAGTGTTGCATGAGAATTCAAAGAGAATCCTTAAAAAGGGAATGTGTGCCCTTTCGGCTCTTCCCCTTTTGCACATTTTTGCGGCCTAGAAAATATGCAGTGGTTGGAGCTTAGCAGCCATATCGTATAACGAGGGTACTTCAAGGAACAAAGCCACTGGGACAGTGAAGCAGAAAGATAGAAGTCTAGGTCTCTTGTTGAACATGGAGCTGCTAAGATATCCCAGACTGCCTTCCTCTAGACTTTTTTGTATATAAGAGAGAGACATAAATTCTCATTTCATTTGTTTTTAATTTATAATTGGTTGTTTTGGTTTTTATTATATGCAGTTGAACCTGATACTAACCAGCTTGCCCAGAATCACAGGTTGGTGCCAGAGCTGGTCTTAGAATCAAGGCCTCATGTTTTTTCCAAAGTCAGTCTCAAGTCACTGTATGAAGGCCTGAAAGTCCACACTCACCCACACCTTGCAGATGCCCTCCAAGTACCAACCCAAAGCCTTAACACAGAAGTACAGAATCTTGATCTTTTAAAAACACAATCAAAATGAGGGATGATCTCTGATCAATATTCAAAACCCACCAGACTGGTGGGAAGCACAGATTCAGCCTCAAATTGAATGCAAGTCCCAGCAACCCCAGGAAATGTAACCAGGAAAACCTGTCTATGACATCCATCCTGGTGCACTCACATGTTTGGCAGCTCCTGCATTTCAACACTAAAGCATTTACTCTTATGTAAAGTGGAGCATGTGGATTAGGGTCTTACCTCCACCAGGGAATGCCAGTGTGCAATGGGCTTCCGAGGATATGACAACATTTCACTCCAGTGGTCTCTGCCCAGCCTCTCAGCCTCGTTGCCTACTTGACACACGCCGATGATCTCATTGTGACCTACACTGTGAAAATGGCCCACAATAGTTTTTTCTTAAAATTTTGGTATGTAAGATCAACAGCTACTCAATTAAACTGATGAAGGAATTGGGGACGGGGTTTTTTTTTTTGTTTGTTTGTTTTTTTCATTTCCTCACTTAAAACTGCAGGCTAAGCATCACGGCCAATAGAACTTGGGATCTAACATATACCCTGGCTGTCCTAACACTGACATGGGTCAACTTGTTTCCAAGAACCTTGTTCGAAGAACCCCATGATTTGTGCTAAGGATGCCACCTCTTGTTCTGGATCTAGGCTGGCCTCCACATAATAAAGAGGAAGCCATCTGAAAAGAGTTTCTTGCAATAATGGCTGCTCTAACTCCCACAAGAGGCAAGCGTGAGGTGAGGGAGCAGTTTTGTGTCTGGCAGCCATGGGTCTTGAGCCCACGAAGTAGAGTAAGTGAAGGAAGCTCATAGATCTTCCTGCTCCCTCTCTTTAGAGAAGACTGTTATTGTCTTATACTCATCCCTCTTTTCTTCCAAGTTCAGCCTCTTTGGCCCACTTAGTTTCCCAACTATAGAAAGATACATAGCTCCTTTGACCTTGAGGCTAATATTTCCTTTTTTTTTTTTTTTTGAAATAGAGTCTCGCTCTGTTGTCCAGGCTGGAGTGCAGTGGTGTGATCTCGGCTCACTGCAACCTCCAGCTCCCGGGTTCAAGCAATTTTCCTGCCTCAGCTTCCAAGTAGCTGGGATTACAGGTGCATGCCACTATGCCTGGCCAATTTTTGCATTTTTTAGTTGAGACGGGGTTTCACCATGTTGGCCAGGCTAGTCTCGAACTCCTAACTTCAAATGATCCACCCGCCTCGGCCTCCCAAAGTGCTGGGATTACAGGTGTGAGCCACCGTGCCCGGCCAAGGCTAATATTTCTGAAACTTTCCCTAGGTAGGTCTCTGCCTTGAGCCATTTTTGTTTTCCCTAGCAGTTTTTAAAAAAGTCCCTGGTATAACTGGACTGATATGGCCAATTCTTTAACTCTATAGGATCCAAACTCACATACTTTCTCTTTTTTTTCCCCTCCTGCAAAGACGAGTGATTTTTCTCCTATTTGTGTAATGGAGCATAAAGGTAAGATGAGGGTGGGGAGGTCATGTGAAGGATATTTGAGTCTCTGCTCATTAAAATCAAATGCATGCAGAAGCCCCATGAATTCTGCCATGAATTTTTCCAGGCCAGATTCATGAGTTTACTGAGAATTAAATTAAGGCAGAGCTCACATAATCAGATTTGTCCATGCAGGAAACTTGGCAATAGCTTAAAAATTGCTGGCCTAGGCTTCCACGGTTGGTGGGCAATGTCCCCTACTGGGGCCTGACACTATTGGTGTTGTTTCTTGCCCACAGGAGATGGGACAAGGTCTACTGCTCAGCATGGGTTGTCACACTCATGGGCAGCTGAGCCAATCCACGTGCTCCTTGGGTTGGAAGACTGTCATGCTTCACGCAGGCATCTGCTGGAAAGAGTGTGCAGGTCACTGAAGCTGCCTTCCTGATATTTCAGAGGTATGTGGGAAAATCCTTAGTCACAAATAATATTAGAAGTCGGAATAATTTTTTTTAAATAATGTGCCCAGACCATGTGGGAGGTTTCCAATTAAAGAGAGACTTTGCATTTCAGTCTAATGACTGGTTTAACATGTATAATTCCCTGTTGGTACTTCCTTTGCATATTAAAATGACTGTTTTTCAAATCTGTCCTTTAAATACACAATTGGCTACAATGCAGGCTATAAATATCTCTTCTGTGCTGTATTAATTAAAAAGTCGAGCATCTTATACATTTTAATGTACCTTGTCATCCATACTGATTCTAGCATTTTCAGGAGAACATTTTTGTGTTTGCTTTCAGACTTAAGTGGAAGGAAACAATCTTTATTAAATACTTGCGAGAAGGAAAAAGATTGAAGTTGTGTATTTAGAAATGTTGATGGTCTGGCTAAAGTAATCATCCTGCCATTTTCAGTGGAATCTTTCCAACGAAGGGCAGTGAGGACTGCCTGACAGAAGATAAAACCTGTGGGGCCACAGTTCTTCAAGCTGAGATTCTAGGAGTTATGCAAAGATGAAAAGGGGAAGAGGTGGAGGTTGGGGGAGGATGGAAGAAGAGAAAAAAAATGAGAAAGGAGCAGAAAAGAATGGGAGTGCTGAGAGACACTTTGGTAGTCTGACTCTACAGCATGGTTTAGAGGTGACTCCTGTCAATGTGCTTCCCATGCACTGCTAGTTGACTCATTTCCTGCAGCCTGGAACACCAGCTAAGAATCTGTGGCTGCTCCTCCCCCTCTGCCCTCCCAGCCCTGGACGCACTGAACTTGCACTGGAAAAGAGTTCCAGGTATCTCACCGGTCATAGTCCATGACTGCTATGGACAAGTGGATTTGGTCAATGTTCTCGGGAGGGACATCAAAGACTATGGCTTCGTTGTAAACAGGATTCAAGGTGTTCCTCTTGGTGGATGTTTTCCTCTTCTTCAGTCGTCTGCCATCACACATCAGTGAGACTTTCACATAGGGATCTGGACAGACCATGAGAAGCAGGAGTACTGTGAGGATTAGTGTAGATTTAGGTGGGCAGTTATATCACTGTGGGTTTTCATGAACTATGGTATGTCGAATTCCTTTACCTGCCTGTGGACTGGAGTTGGAGGATTGTCATTAATATGATATCTGGGGAGCAACTAGAGTGAGGATAATTAAGTCACTAATTCAAGATAAAGCACAGGATACTGTCTCCTGAAAATGTGTGAAATTTAAAAATAGTTTGAAAACATCTGTTATGGAATTAGGAGACATTCCAGCTAGAACTCAAGACTGGCCTGGCCAGGATAGGAAGAGAAATGCACCGGCATTTCCAAGGCTGAAAACAGGCCCCCCAACTCTGAGCCACCTCAGGGAATATTTTCAGGATTTTAAGAAAGGGAATTCCTAGACTCTTTTAATTTCTGAATTCCTAGAGGACAGAGAGAACATCTGGGAGTGGAATTCCTTAAGTACAGAGACCCTGAGCCCCTAGAGTGGCCTGCCCTTGGGTTGCAAAGGGAGAAGCAGCTCAGCATATCAGGGAGAGAAAGGCCACAGGCTTCCTTGTGGTGCAACACTGTGATGGGGTGACAAGTGGCAAGGCTGGCCTCTGCTCCAGATAGGGCTCTTCTGGTCCTAACAGCTATCTCACTCTTCTTCTGTTCGGTGGGAAGTCCTTGTTCTCTTTTCACCTGCATAACCATGCATTGCTCTGACTCCTATATACAGTCCAGTAGGGACTTAGATGACCAGAGGGACCACAGCTATTTTTTTTTTTCTGCTTTAAAAAAAACACTGGGGTATAGGATGCAGAATATATTGCATATGGTGTTCTTTGATTTCAGAGGATGTAAGCCAGGGTGTATTGGGTGTTTTGTGACCACATTTGGGAAACACCTGCAGAGGTTGCTTGTGAATTTGCAGTTAGCAAAGCATATAGAGGCATTTTTTTCTTGTTAGGGTTCAGAATTTAATGCTTGGTTTAATGGAAAAGCTAAAACTCATAGTTCACTTTAATAAGGAAATAGGATTGTTCTCAGCCTTCAATGAGCCTCGGATGATATTTGAGGAAAGACCAAATTAGATAAGCTTTATCAATGTGTGTAAACAATAGGTCCAATTCAAAATTATGGTGAGGGAGACCCAAGAGAGTACTATTGTCCCTTGTTATCCACAAGGAATTGGTTTCAGGACCCTTCACAGATAGGAAAATCCAAGGATGTTCAGGTCCCTTATATAAAATGGCATCATATTTGCATATAACCTACGCACATTATCCTGTATACTTTAAATTATCTCTAGATTGCTCACAATACCTAATCTGGTATAAATGCTGTGTAAATAGTTGTTATACTGTATTGTTTAAAAAACTGTATTATTTTTATTGTTGTATTTTTTTTTCCTGAGTATTTTAAATCCATCATTGGTTGAATCTACAGATGTGGAACTGGTGGATACAGAAGGCTAACTGTATTAATAACAATAACTAACAATATGTAGCACTTAATATATGCTAGCACTGTTCTCATGGCTTTATATTTATTAATTCAGTTTTACAACAGCCCAGTGAGCCAGATACTATAATTACTCTCATCTTACCGATGGGAATCCAAAGCTCAGAGAGGTAAAATGACTTGCTCAAGGTCACACAGGTGTTAGGACTAGGATTAAGCCTAGGCAGTCTGGTTCCAGGGTCAACGTGCTTTATTACCTTACTAAAACTTCATAAGGTACTTACTACAGTAGAAGTGCATGAGAAAGTCTGAATTTGAAAATGCCCCACCTGATGCTCCTGTTATGTCCATTGCCTTTAAATTCCTTGCTTTTATAATGGTAATAGTCAGCCTGCCAGCCGTTGGAAGATAGCACAGGGAAAACATCAGCTCTCCCAGATCCACGTTGTCCTGTTGAGAAAGCACAAACTAAAGTATTAGAAAGTGTCTCCAGACTGGTGTGCAAGAGGCTCAGCTTCAGGCCTCACTGAAAGGGAACACACTGCCCCTTTTGCTCAGCTTGTAAATCCCTGGTATCTCTTCCCTTCATGTCAGTCTCAGGGAGAATAATAAATCCCTGCACTTTGGGAGCACCTTACCCTAAGGAGGCATAATCTATCTTTGGATGGCAAAGCTGTAAGCCTGTTCAGGCCTCTGCCACCATGTATCCAGCCACAGGCAGCCCTGTACAGACTCATGTGTCCAGGTAGCCCAGAACATATCCTCCACAGAGTCCCCCATGTGGCTCCATTCATACCACTACTACAATGCACACAGAGCCTCTAGGTCAAAGCTACACAAAGAGGTGCCCTGCAGTACTGTGGTGCGCCACTCACAGTCCAGGATAGCTCTGCACACAGCCCTATGCAGCATCATGAAGCCTCTCAACAGGTTTCCACACCGCCCCACACACTCCCCTATACAGCCCCCTCAAACTTGCCACCATATCCCTGTATACCCCTGCATACCCCCAACCTCCCACACGCAATCCGCATGCCACAGAGCACAGCACACACCCTGGTTGCACACAATCTGTGCAGACCAGCACAGGGCTCCACTGGACCCTGGAAACTTACAGCCTGTCGCATAGCTCCAAATAAGGACACTGTGTGAGCCTGAGAGTGGCACCCTGCGAGCCTACACATTCAGAGCCCTGGACACATCCAAGTACTTGCCTAGTCCTGCACTGCCTCCATGCAGGGAGAGAACAGAGACCCAGACTCCCAGGTGGCCCTTGTGCCTCCCTCTCACAGTTCCACTTTGTGGCAGCTCTTTCCTTTTCTTAATGTGCCTCTAAAGACCCCCATTTCCCTCTACTGGGGAAGATATATCAGGCAGTGTGCAGCCATTCAAATAGGTCAGAAGACACAATTCTCTTTCTCCTTTTTAGCTCAGGGGGAGTATAACCAGAAAGGAGGGGGAACAAAAGCCATTTCATTTCGTTTCAATTTCTGAGAGATACCTGAGGTTATCGAGCTGAGGTGCCTGTGTCTAATTAATACAGTTTCCTACTGATAATGCTCTGAGGATTCAGGTTCTTGCCCTCAGTGTCCACAGCTTTCCCTCCCCTCCTCAGTTCTCCAAGGATGCTTCTATTTTTAGAAGCACAGATTCAGCTCTGGAAGGTCACCTCGCCCAACCTCCCTTTCTTGATTGCTTCCACAGGAGGATGAGGCAAAGGGATCTATTTGGTCACTAAGGCAGACGGATTACTCTGTGTCTTCTTGCATCATGCATTGCTTGCCCAGTGTAAATAAATGACCTCTCCTTGTAAGCTTGGCTTTCCTGGTTCCGGAAGCCCTGACCTCAAGAGACCCAGGTGACTGGGCCTTCCCCTTTTGGGAGACATGGGGGCTTGGGGACTAGAATTCTATAGGACTGGAGGTTTTACACACAGCAGACTCTGGCTTGCTCTGCGGTGCTGGGTTCCCTATTGTAGGAGCAGTGTCTGCCCTTACTGAGGAGGGGATTGACCCAGCCTCCTGCTGGTGGCAGAAAGGAAAGAGAGACCACAGCTGTCCCCACACATCACCCTTTTGTTTCCTGACTCCCTGGCCCACTTTGCTGTTCAACTTCTGTTCTTCCTTTAAAAGGCTTTTCACCGCACCTAGCTCTCTCCTCTCCCCTCATCCTTCTCAGAAAATCTTGGTTTGACAAAGTAAACACAGAATTAACCAAAACTATGCCTATGAAGCTTCATAATCAATTCTTTCAACATACATTTCCTGAGGGCCTGCACTGTGCACACACTTTGTAAGGTTCAGGATGTGAAAATGCATGCCATCTAATCTCTGCCCTCAAGACTGAGGCACATAATTAAATGTGATGTGTCAGATTACTTCCATGCTAGGTATGTTGGTTTGTTTGTTTTCCTCCAACATAAGCCCATTCACAAACATTTATACAATACAGCTATTTGCTCATAAGTTAAAAGAGAAAAATCAAACCTCAGACTTGATGGTATATTCAGAATGTAAACCAAGCAAAAGTCCACATTTGTACTTTAAAAAATAGCAAATTAGCTGGGTGCAGTGGCACATGCCTACAATCCTAGCTACTCTGGAGGCTAAGGCAGGAGGATCACTTGAGCCCAGGAGTACAAGTGCAGTTTAGGCAATCTAGCAAGATGCTGTCTCTTTAAAAAGAAAGAAAGAAGAAAGAAAGAAAGAAAGAAAGAAAGAAAGAAAGAAAGAAAGAAAGAAAGAAAGAAAGAAAGAAAGAAAGAAACGAACAAACAAACAACAGGAAGCTAAGTGCCTCTACCATGGAGAAGAACCAAAATAGCAAGTAGATATTCACACTTTGAATAGATCATCTAAGGGAGAACACTGGAATTCAACAAAAAAGTGACAGGAAGCACCAAAAGTAACAAAGGAAAAGGAAGCAATGTAGCCTGCTCAGTGGGGTTTGGCTGGGAGTTGGGAGAAGCTCCCTAACATAGGGAAGGGGTTAAGTGAGAGACCTCTCAGGGTCCACATTTCCACCACATACTATCCTACTCACAGGAGAGCCCCTCGACCCTCACAGTCCTCGAGACTAACACAGAGAGCTGCCTGGAAATTGCACAGTGGTATTGTTTCAAAGAGAGAGCTCATGCTGTGACCCACAGGCCTGTAAGCCCTGAGCAGCTACAGCACAGTGACATTCTGAAAGCTGAGCCCCTAAAGGACTTGTCTTACCCTGGTTTTGGTGCCATTGATGCTACTACCAGGCCAGGGAGGAGATGAGGCCAGATCCTTTCATGCACCCTAAGGATAAATAACACTGTCACTAGTGCTGCAAGCTGCTGGGGGACTGAGGCATGAGCAAATCACATGCTGCACAACTACCTACCTATGCTGCTCCCAATGAGAGTGTCTGTGCCCTCCCCAGTGGCAGCCCTGAACTGAAGCCACCACTGCCCTCATCTGAGCATTCTTCTGACTGCCTGGGGACCACCTGTTCCTGCCTATCATAGGTATGCCTGAACATATTACCAGGCGGCCTGAGGACAAGTCTCAATTCTGGCAACCTGGTCCTGTCTCCTCAGTACTTGCAAATGCCATCCAGGGGCCTGGCAATCATCCAGCCTAGTCTATCACTGCTGGTGCACGTGCACTCTTCCCAGGGTCTGAGGTGGGGGCAACTCAACCCCCTGGTACCACAACAATTGGCACCCACTTGCAAGCACCATGAGACTGGCCCATCCAACCCATTACAGCTCAGACCAACTTGGATTTCAGTGAGTGGCCGAATCACTGCTATTGCCATTGCCCACATCAAGCCTGCTCACCTAGAGCAAGAGAACCAGTCTACATGCCAGGCCCACTGCTGCCACTACTAGCATTTCAGCAAGACACCTGGAAGCCCAATAATTGGCCCACTTGGATCCACTAATACCAGAGCCAGCATACATCACTCTGGGGCTCAAAGACAGGCATCTTCAGCCCACTGCTGACCACTGGGGCCAGAAGACTGGCCTACCTAATAACTTAGTTCCCAGAAAACTTTACCACAGCCTCCACTATCCCTACCCTAAGCTATCAAGGAAATCACAGATACCACTGACGCTATTTATAGCCAAGGAGATCATAGAGACTACGCTATTGCTTGCATCCAAAATGAAACCCAAAATGCCCTACTCAGCCAACATCATAGATAATCTTCAGAGAAGAGTCCTCTCTACAAAAGTAAATTAACAAAAATTGGAAGAAGTGATTGTTACACCAGATGTGCAGATATTAACATAATGACACAGGAAACATGAGAAAGCAAGAAAATATGACACCTTCAAAGGAACACAATAATTCTACAGCAACAGATACCAATAAAAAAATCAATGAAATCATGGGTAAACAATTCAAATTACTGCTTTTAAAGAAGCTCAGCAAACAAGATAATTTTGAAAAACAATATAGAAAATTGGAAAAGAATTCATCAGAGAGATACACATTTTTAAAAGAACCAAACAGAAATTCTGGAACTGAAGAATTCATTGAATAAAATACAAAATACAGTCAAAACCTCCAACAACAGATTAGATTAAGCAGAATAAAGAATCTCAGAACTTGAAATCTTTTGAAATAATCCAGTCAGACAAAAATAAATAAAAAGAATAAAAAAGAATGAGAAAGGCTTTGTGACATATGGGACAACATAAAGTGACTCAATATTCTAATTATCAGTGCCCCCAAGGGCAAAGAGAGAACGAAAGGGTTAGAAAATCTGTTTAATGAAATAATAGATGAAAACTTCCCCAATCTAGAAAAAGACTTATACAAGGGGCTCAGAGAACCCCACAGAAATACAAAGCATGAAGGTCTTCTCTGCAGCGTGTTATAGTCAAACTATTTAAAGTCAAAGATAAAGAGGGGATTCCAACAACAGCAAGACAAAAGTGTCTAGTCACCCATAAAGGAAACCCCATCAGGCTCACAAAGTATTTCTCAGCAGAAACAATACAGGGCAAGAGAGACATATTCAAAGTGCTGAAAGGAAAAAAAAAGCCATTTAAGTATACTATCTACCAAAATTATCCTTCACAAAAAAAGTCCTTCCCAGAGAAGAAAATGCTGAGGGAATTTATCACCACTAGACTGGCCCTAGAAGAAATGTCCAAAGAAGTCCTAAACCTGGAATAAAAAAGATAATATTTACCTTCATGAAAACACATCAAAGTATAAAACTCACTGGTAAACCAAACACACAAATGAGGAAGAGAAAGAATTCAAATGGTACAATTACAGAAAACCACCAAACCAAAATGACAAACAATTAGAAAAAAAGAGAGGAATAAAGAACATACAAAACAACCAGAAAACAGTGAAGAACATGACAGGAACAAAGCCTTGCATATTAAAAGCAATCTTGAGGCCGGGTGTGGTGGCTCACACCTGCAGTCCTAGCACTTTGGGAGGCCAAGGCAGGTGAAT